GCAAGCTGAAAAGAACTTGCCGTGGATCCCTGTATTGTTTCCGCACCGTTTTTCCAATGGGCAGATCAAAGATTTCTGACACGACCTTCCAGAAGGGCTGCCCAAGAGAGACTGGATGGACAGGAGGCCTTTTCAGGAAGCTCAGCCACTTGAGTGCTGCAGAGGCCCCTGGACGAGGGGCCGGCTGGACCGCTTCTCCAGACGGTCCTCCAGGCCAAACGCCACTTGAGGAAGTCTTCTTGAACGCGCAAGAGGCTTTCTCTGCACAGGCAGCCCCAGGGCCGCCCCTCCCTGTGTGATGTGGGTCCCGACCTCCCAAGGGGCACCGGGCACTCAGGCCTGGGCGCTCAGTCTTGGGCAGGGGGAACAGGGTGCTACTGTTGTGCTGGGGTAGCGGGAACCTCAAGCCGTGGGGCACCTTTCAGCCCCCGCCGCTGAGGTCTGGCCCCTCCTTTGGCCATGGGAGCAGAGGCACAAGGGCATCCGCACGGCCTCGTTCGGAAGAGTCCCCTGCTCTCTTGCCCGTCTAGTCCAGTGGTGGCCAAGCGATGGCACGCATGCTGCAGTGGGTACACAGAGCCCTCTGTCGGCACGCGAGCCACGTCGCCCCAGGATCGCCCCAGCAGCCGAGCATCGGCTATCAGCACACGAAGGGGCCATGTGCATGCTCGGAAAGGAGTAGTGGCGCCAGGCAATGACGTCACGAGCCGCGACTCATTAGCCATTACTCGTCTCAGCTTTCGCATGGCAGGTCAGTGCACTGCCAAGGATACATATACATCCATCCATACATTTTTGCTTGGACTGGCTGTGAGCTGATTTATATGAACGAAAACCTCACGTATTTAGGTTTCTTTCCAGTGTTGGCACTTTGCGATAAATAAGTTGGTTTTGGAGTACAGTTTAGGCACTCAGTCCTAAAATGTTCACCGTCACTGGTCTAGTCTGTGGAGTGAGACATTTCTGGAAGATCTTTCCAAGGCGACGCTACGTTGAACACCTGTTGAGGACCCAGTGCAGAGTGCAGTAGTGCCAGGATGAGTGGGGTGCAAGGGGGGCGAGGCCCCAGTGGAATGCACTGCAGGGCAGAACCGCATCGGAGAGGCTGTCGTGGGCCCCCCAGTGCGCAGCTCAGGGTGCTGACCTGGCTGGCTGATCCGCTTGGGATCCTGCCACACGGGCGCCACACACGCAGCAGTGGGAGGCCCCCATCGTTCCCCCATTCGGCCCACCGGGTGGCCGCTTTGCCCCAGGACATGGGATGTGAGGGGAATTCTGGATGGGACCCGCAAAGCTGTCTATTCATCCAGCGGCTTCATTGATTAAACTGGTGTGTGCTGACTGAAAACAATTCCCATTATTTATTTATTAAAACATTTTTATGCCGCCCCATTCGCCGAAGCCTCGGGGCGGCTTACAACAATAAATTAAAACCACATAAATTAAAATATACATATTAGAATAATAATAATTTAAAATGCAATATACACACAATATGAACCAGGATCCATTATTTTTATCTATTATTATTAAAAGCTTTTCTAACTCCTCTGGGACAGACATCTTGGGTCGGCATATGAAAAATGAGCAGAATAAAGCAAACCCCTCAGCATCTGACAATTAATCCACTAAAACCCTAGTTAAAATCAATTAAACATTAAAATAGTGGGAAAATAAAAAGGGTTTTTCCTGATGCTGGAAAGAATATGGTGTGTGTGCCACGCTAGACTCTGGGAGGGTCTTCCACAGTGGGGGGACCCCCACAGAGAAGGCCCCCCCTCTGGGCTCCTCCCTCCTTAGACAACCCACTCCGCCTGCAAACGTGGGGCCCCTGGTGCCCTCCTGCACATGGCTGAGGTGCCCCCCTGCACCCCTGCTGGAGTGGCCGGCCTGACCGAAATGGGGGTGGAGGGGAGGAGCTGCCCCACCAAGGACGGCCCTTCCTTCACGCAACAGGTTTGGGAGTCCTCAGATGCCCTCGTTTTTTAGTCAGTGCCGTGCCATTCGCACTCTCTTGCAACGGAGGGGGGCTTGTGGCCCCGTTTGCGGAAGGAAAGACAAGCTCTGGCGCCAACCCCATAATGGAGGCGCGAGGGGCCCATCTCTCGCTCCTTCGTCTGCTCAGGGAGATTCCCGATCGGAAAGGAGGGGGAGCAGCAGGGGGAGGCAGGACTCTGAAGCTGCAAGGTTGCCTTGTGTAGTTTCACAGGTGCAGTGTGGGCACCGGCCGCTTTAGAAGGGGCAGGATGGTTGACAGGAGGGGAGGGGGAGCAGATGCAAGGCCCAGTCCTTGGCCCAGTGAGGGGGAGCAGTTGCCCGGCAGGCCCCCCATCCTGCCCCCTCCCTGAGGGTGGAGCCCCATGGATCCCGCCTGTGTGTTCTCCTATCCCTGCATGGCAGTTGCCATGTTTGCTTCGCTCTTGCCACAGGTCAGAGCACGGCAATCATGTGCGCAGCCCGGCAGTTGTCCTTTCTTCTCCAGCAGCAGCCCTGGACGGGGTATCACTGATCTGATCCGGCCCGAGGTCCGGTTGGCACCAACTCTTTTGGCATTTAGACGCAACTGAAAACAGAGCTGTTATTTTTACAGGTGAATTTTGCGGTAGTAATAATGTTATTTTTATGCTGTTGCCAATGGGACGTGACTTTAAAGGAGAGAGATGTACTCTTAACTTGTGTGCTTTATGCTTTATTCCTGGATGTGTCTTGGTGTCTATAATTTAGTATTTATTAATTGTATTCTTTTCCCATATGACTTTTTAATTCTGTTTATTTATGGATGATATAGTGGTAAAAGCTGTGGGAGAGAAATATCAAGGTAATATTAGCAACTCTGTATAAAGAAAACTTATACTAAAAGTTTTTTAGAGGGTATCTGTTGCCAAATAAATTAGCTAAGAAGTTTCCAAATATGTTAAATGGATGTTGGAAGTGTAAACATAAATTGGGTACTTTTACTATATGTGAAGGACTTGTGAAAATGGAAAAAAGTATTGGATTAAAATACATGAATGTATTCGATTTTACTTGTAATTACTCTGGTGATGATTGCATTCACTTAATACTTGAAAAGTGAACAAGTACCCATCAATGAACTGATCCTAAAAAAAAAAAAATTCTGGACTGTGCAGAAATGGACAGATTGACGTTACCATTGAAGGAGAAGGAAAATATTGACCTCTATCAAACTTGGGACTCTTTTTATTATTGGCTAGAGAAACGGGATTTTGCATAGATTTAAATATGTTTTTTAAGTTATTATAAATGAAAAAGAAGGTTGTGGGGGCTGACCCAGCGTGCTCGATGTTTTTGATGATGGATGTTGTTCGTAGTTTTTGTTTTTTAGGATTATACTTCAAATAAAACTTGTATTTAAAAAAGGAATGTATGTAGTGCCCCCTGGTTCAAAATTAGAAATAGATTCAAATAGCGAAAAAGCAGGGACCAGATTCTGCCCCACAAAAGCCACACATGCTCACTGAACTGGCGACAGGAAAGGCCACCACCGTAGTAATCGCTACCCTGAAAGGAGAGGCACCCGTCTCGCTCCCGCTTGATCTCAGTTTGTGGTGGATACGGTTTGGTGCCTGAGACAGCTCTCTCTGCTGCAGGGAAATCAGGTCCCGCTGGCAGGATAGCCAGGAACTGCTCCAGGACCACCAGGTCCAGGATTTGGTTTTTGGTGTGTTGCTCTGGCCTCAGCCACTCCCAGGAAAGTCAGTGGAATTGGTTGCAAGCCTTTCGGGGCTCCTCAGCAGCCTGGTAGTGGAGCCCACTGAAATGCTGGCGCAGTATGTCTGAGCTCGCCGCATCTTCATGGAAGACCTTCTTCTCCATCCTTCCCCGGAAGCCTCCTCTGCTCCTGGTCTCTGTGGCAGCAGGCCCTTCTTCTCCTGCACGGCTACCTGGGTTTGGGTTTGTCAGCACTGATCTATGTGCCAAGGGAAGCTCCAAGGGGGGCCAGAAACACTCTTCTCCCTTGATATGTTGGGCAATAGTACCGTAGGACATGGTGCTGCAAAGGGTCTGTGGAGGCAAGAGGAGGTTCTGTTAAGGAATCAGATACTGTCAGAACACGGTGAAAGGAGCAGGACTCCCGCGAGTGAACAAGTCTTGTTCGAGAAGGAGGAGCAGGCCGTACGCCAGGACTCACAGGGGAACTGACCAGGCGACCGCCACCCCGAAGTCTCCCGGCCGACTCTGGCCGCACAGAGCCGGCCTCATTCCGCATGGGGCCCCGGGACGGCGGGCAGCTGCATGGTGAGGCTGCTCTCCCTTGAGTGCGGCCCTGAGTGGTGCTTGCACCCGGAGGCTGCCTTGGCTCATTCGCACTCCACTATTCTCGGAGTCTATGATGGGATTCACGGCTGCTGACCTGAGAGATGCGTGGGTGGCGTGATGCATTCCTTCCTTCCTTCCTTTACTGTATTTGTACGCCACCCCACAGCCAAAAGGCTCTCTTGGGGGTTCACAGCGCAAGCATACACAATAATACAGATCAAAATGGGAAATACACATAAAATTGATATCCATTATTACTAAAACCGTAAAATATAATAAAGTACAATATACATGCAACAGGAGGAAAAACAGTAAACAATCCAACACAAACCAGTAAAACAATAAACCAGCAGCAGGATGACTAATCATAATCTCTGAACAGATACTAAAGAAAAAAGGCAAAATGGGTCAGGTGGGTGCCGGTTGCCCCTCCCTTGCAAGGGAATTCCAGGGAGCTTGGAGTCAGGG